CAGCACCCAAGATGACGTCCTCTAATGTCTTGTTTTGTCATAGGAGTAAAAAAAAAAAAAAAATAAAAATATTCACATTTATGAAGCTGGAATCAGAGATTTTTTTTTAATTTATGTACTCAGAGTTAATAAGCAGTTATCAAATTAGTTGGGGGTTCATTTAATAGCTGAAAACTGGTTGATTAATCATTGCAGCTCCAGCTATAGGAAACTGTGATAGGCATTTCTCATTATTTTTAATATCATCATGACTAAATTTAAATAAATAAATAAATAACTAAATAAATAAATAAGGGATTAAGCATAAAATAATTTTATATTTTTAAATATATTTATTTAATAATAACTACATTTTAATATTTTTTAATTATTCTTTTTAAATAACAGATTAATCATCTATGAAATAATTGTCAGTTGCAGCCCATTAAAAAGTTCATTACACCACTTCTTTTGAAAGGACACAATAAGCTAAATAAAATATTTACTGCTCATTACAACAGTGGCTATGATGTCAAAGAGGTCAGCGTGCCATTCTTTCTGAAACTGACCTCCAGTTGTGAAAAGCCGGTCGAGAACACATCATTAAATTATAAATACTGTTAAATCGACCTGTCTTTAGAGGTCAGCGAAGCGGGACACAGTAACCTTGACCTCAGCATGTGCTGTTTGCGGTCACAGACATGTGTCTGTGTCCATATTGCTTCTGCCAGCCTGGTTGGCATTTGACATTCAAACTCCCTGAGAGTGCCTGACATACATTATGTATGTCATATGTGTTACCCTGCATGTTGCGGATCAGTCGTTTGTTACTCAGGAAATGCTTGCTAAGCTTTTACGACTGCTCCTGCTGACTTACCTCCAGAGTGGTAAACAGACGTCCAGGTTCTACATCCAGTGTGTGGACTCACTTAGCAGTCACACTGGGTATGGACTAGACTTTTAAGCTTACATTAATAATGACTACTCTGGCAGAAAACTGCATTTCAACAGACTGGACAGGAGACAAGAAAACCTCACAGGCTGGTGTGATGCATCTCCTGTTGCCTTCTAATGAGACTAAATCAGGATGGATCCACTGTGGTCATTGTGTGTTATGGTGCACGGGAAGTGGCACGATCAAAGGAGTTTGTCATCGACATTAGAGCAGCACTCAAACTGTGAACACCACCACAGCTTCTATCCTTCATACTTGCTCTCTCTCATGCAGTTCTACTTTCAGCAGCTGCCTCCCTAAACTGGAAGTTTGACCACAGAGATTTAAACTGGTGATGTCAACGTTAGGCAGCATTTATGGAGCTGGGCCAGTAATATTGAATTAGTACCAGACTTTGTGGGCTCAAGAAATATTTCTTTGCTATATTCAGTCCCAATTAATTATACGTGAACGTAGGCTACCAGCTGTGAATCAGACCAACTCTGCGGTTCAGCTGGAGGAGAGCCTTGTTTCAAGTTCACAAATTAAAACCGAGTTGTACAAAACAATGGAAAACAACATCAATGACGTCAAATTTAAAGCACATTTCTTCTTGTGAAGCCTTTTCTTGAATATCCTGACATTCATGATCTTGTTTATCAAATATTTAAAAAGGTATGCTATGCAGGATGTTACTAAAAAACAACGTACAGACTCATCACCTATGACCCACTCTCGTGCTATGTTCAGGATGTTCCTCTGTGTGTGTGCCCACAGTGCTCAGGTGAGGTCACACTTTATAAAAAGGTAGCATCCAGGTGCCAAAAGGTGAGCAGCATGCATCCAAGAGGAGGCAACAAAAATTGTGAACACAGCGCTGAAAAAATGCAAATATAGCGAGGCGAAACCCCAAACTGACAAAGCTCATTTGAAATAAGAGCGAGTCTGGGGTTGCCTTTCACTTTCGCTGGAGATACCATTTGCAAACAGGAATCAACAATTCCTGCATAGCATACCTTCAAATAATTCACATATATGACATAGATAGATATAGATGACAGAATAAAATATAAAAATATTTTCTCCTCCCAAAAAGCTTGAGAGTGGACTCCATGGAAAGTTTAAAGGTCCTCTGGCGAGCAGGGAACTACACTCAGTTCCTATTTTCTTTAGGGCTACCAAGCAAAACATTATGCAGTCTAAAACAACAACAACCCAGCAGTAAATCACATCTTTATGACGGCTGTAATGTTCGGTTTTTGTTGAGAACGCTTCAGAGAGGCGCTGAGAGTTGCTCCAAATACAACATCTGTGTCAGTGAGGGTGGACTAAATATTAGGAACGACTCTCAGGATAACAGTGTAACAGCAGCTCCTACCCGACCCTTAAAGGGGAAATACGCCCATTTTCAAACTTCATGCATGTTATCCCTATGGTCTAGATACTCTAAAAATACTAGTCAACATGAACAGCTCTCCCAAAACCAAAAACTAGAGTGCTGAAACTCAAATTTGTGATGTCATCAGGTATAAAGGCTGGAGCTAATCCACAGACGGAGAGCACCCAGGGGAATGTGACAAACAGAACTTTGATTTTATTTGTGGAGATACGTGAAATTGACAAATTGGTTTACCAGTGTTTCTGTTGTAATTTTCATTTGACTTCCGGGAAGTGAACGCTGCTGTGATTAATGGCCACTACTCCCCGGTCCCTGCTGCATCGCCCTCAGTTTTTCGACTGATCTTTACTGACTCCTGAAATCACTTTGCATCGGCTCCCAGTTAAATACCGCACTGACTTTATGATCTTACTCCGCACCTTTAAGGCCATCCACAACCAAGCTCCTCTGTCCCTCTCCCAACTCTTGCACACCCCCACCTGCACTCTCAGGTCTTCCTCTTGCATCAACCTCACTGTCCTGCCAGCCCACCTGACCACCTGAGCCTTCAGCTGCCCCACCCTGCGCCTCAACTCTCATCAACATCAACTCTCTCTACTTTCAAATCCCGCCTCAAAACTCACCTCTTTCTAGCCTATTCAGTTTGACTCCGTCCATCTAGCCACACACATCCACTATTTACTCTGCATTTTATTCACTGAAAACTTGTTTTGCTGATTATTAATTTTTTGTTCTGTTATTTTACTTTATTATTTATTTTATGTTTCTTTATTCCTTACCTCACTGACTTTTTAATCTGCTGTCATTTTCTCTTTCTTTGCCTGTGAGGTGACCTTGAGTGTCCTTAAAGGCGCCTATAAATACAGCGTATTATTATAATTATTATTATTTGTTTGAAAAGATATTCACGCATCCAGCTGTCTCAGATGCAGGTGCATTGGAAAATATCACTTAAGTCTTTGAACAGAAAATCCCACACACTGCTCAGCTTTACAATTTATTAGTAACATTAATGTTTCGGCGTTGAACTGAAACGTAGGACTGAAACGTTAGTGTCACCAATAAATTGTAAAGCTGAGCAAGAGCAGTGTGCAGAATTTTCTGTTCAAAGACAGTTGAAATTTACAGCCATAACTATAACATATAAAGATATATAACCAAACATGAGGGTCCGACCTATCTGATGTTTCTGCTGTGCTTATTTCAAGTACTACGCTTCTTTATTAGCTCTCTGATGAACCAAATCTACCCACACAGACGCAAAGAAATGTACTGCTGTGGAGGAGGGCTGCAGTAAAACATATTTCAGCCACCTAAAGAAAGTATCAATTTAAGTGTGAACTATATTTGGATTATTTCCTCTGCATCACCTTACACCTTAAACCAGTCGAGGCAGCTGTAGACCAGCAGCACCCGTACTCTGCTGGCTTTGAGATAACAGCGTCAGTTCTCCATTTGAAAGCACTGTGACAGCGAGGTTAGGTGGTGAAAATATTCTAAATACAGCGTTTATTTAAACTGATACTGATTTTTTTTTTTAGGTAGGCCTCTTTTTAATGAAGAAAAACTAGGGAGTGCAGCACTGAGTTAAGGCTCTGTGTAGTTAGTTGTAAAAAATCAGGATGGGGCACAGAGTCACTTAGAGATAAAAAATAACAATTGGCCAGCTCACTAAGTGTAAAAGTCCATAATATAGGCAGGCATCCAAGTCACTCTGACTGTAGTTAAAAATCCTTTTTTAAAACATGGATGACCAACACGTTTCGACTAGAGAGTCTCCATCAGGGTGAAGACTCTCTAGCCTCTTTTTAAGTGGCTGAAAACGAATCAGCTGAGGCAGCGTTTGCTCAGTGCCGGCTTATTTTAAGTACATATCGTAGGGGTTTTCTACCTGGAAGTTACTGTAAACTCAGTGTCCTCCTGTCTGACACTCTATAAAAAAGGAAAAACACTCTGCCATGACATCAGGTTCCTATTAATCGTCTATGTAGCAGCTCCAGACGTTTTATACCCTATGACATCACAAGTTTGAGACTAACTTCTCTGGTTTCTGGCTTTTTAGAGAGTAGCATGTGTTAGCAAATATTGATTTATATTTCCCAGGGTGTGGAAATAACATAGTGGAGTTCTCAATTTTGGTGGTGTTCCCCTTTAAGTAACGCCTCCCCTAAGCAGCTCCAAAAAAATTAAAATATTACAACCTGTATAAAGTTGGGATTTAAAGCAGGTCTGTTGTACTAGAGAGCATTAGTTTTAGCAAAGTGTACCTTATAAAATAACTTAGAATTTTAAATGTGTTGTAGGAGATTCTCAGATTTTAACTACATCATGCACGACTACACTTTAATCTCTATAAATCTAAAAATATTAGCACCAAGCTGTCCATGATTTCTCAAAGTGGCAGTTTGCAGCGCAATCTCGAGTCTCCACATCAATGTCGTAATCAATAACGGTTACTGCAGTGCAAAAATAAGTTCCTGTTTTTACTTTGTTGCTGTCATGTTTGTGTCATGAGCACATGACTGAAAGTGTGTGGGGTCACAGTATGCAGGTGGTTGATGCTTGTAAGACTGGGGATAGGGGAAGGGGAGCAGGGGTCAGGTCTGTAGGGGGGGCACATTGCACCAGGTCATTATAACACTTGTATTATCAAGCTGATTTCCTGTCTGCCTCTCCAGTGCTACGTACCTGTCCATAGTTGTCTATCCCAGTCACTAATCTATTGAGATTGAGTAAATCAAAAGCGGTCCTCAAGGACTGGCCGATAGATGTGAGCCCGGTTGCTTGGAGGTTCCTCAGCTCTGTCATGAAGGTGGCGTGGCTCTCCTTCCATCCAGCCTTTGAATGAAAACACCAACAACAAAACATATTTGGTTAGCAACAAGCACAAAGTTAAATAACTACACCACTGTTGTGAGCACCAGGCAACTTCTGCAGGAGTCAAGGGTTAACTTTTTTATTATGACTTTAAAGTGATAAACACATACATAGGTCGCTTCCTCTTTATGTGCCCAAGCCAATAATGTGACAGCACCGCAGCTGAGATGTGCCAGGCTGCTGCGACCGGCACACACATCACACATTACAATGTGTGCCGTGACTAAAGTGGCAATTTGGTCTAAACAAGTAAAGTAAGCTAGTCTGTCACCCTCCACCACCACCACCACCACCACCTCCTCCTCCACCTCCTCCTCCCTCTCCCCCAGATATCACCTCGCTGTATAAATAACACCCAGAGTTCCTTGCTGCTCACATTGAAACAAAATGTCGGCCATGTTTTAAAAGGGGTATGAAAGCTCCTCCTGAAGATTTCCTCTACACAATTGATGTAGTGATCACAACGTGGTGGAGCGATGGAGGGGGACAGTCAAATCTGCGCAATGTAAAGCTGGACATGACCCGAAAACAAACTCTACCTTTATCCCGAACGGAACGTCTTCAAAATTTACCAACATATACCGGTCCCCTCGGCTCGCCGGATCTCTCCCTCTGAGCTGTGGAAATAGTAGAGAATTATTTACGGTTATCGAGAGATCGGCTGTGACAGGCGAGCTTGCAACAGTACAAAGATGATCTGAACCGCAATCCCCGCTCGGGATCTCCCAATATGAATGTGTCCCGTGGTTACAGTACCTTCATAAAAGTCTCAACAGCGCCTTTTGCTATGTCCAGATAGGTAGTGCCCAGATGGGTGCGCTGGTTCATTGAAGCGGACGTGTCTATCAGAAAAAGTAAAACGGGCATTGTGATGGTAATGACACGTTCTGCATGGACTTGGTGTCAGTACAACCGGCCAAAACGCAAAAAAAATCTTTTGTTCTCCTGCCGCCTGTATCACCTCTCAGCTAGCTAGCTAGCTGGCTAACTGTCTGTCTCACACATTCTTTCAAAAAAAGTGTAAGAATAGTGAGTGTAGAAGCCCTTTCCGGGCGAACTAACCTAAAAACCTCAAACCCTAGGGGCAGGTTATTGATTCACGAGGGATTTTGATAATTTTTACAATATTTTGCAAATATTCCTAAGTTTCATAGAAACAAAGTTCCCCCTCATAGTGTGTCCCTGCTTCTCCCTACACTGAATGCGCTGTGTCTTGTCCACTGGTTTTAACCTAAGCTCCGCGTTTGACCCCGCCTCCCAAGCGGTCTCTCAGCGTCACGTGCGCGAACGCTCGCTCCTCATTGGCCGCCCCGCGCCGCTCATTACCATATCCAAATAAGGCCAACGCTGAGCGTCTCGTGCGCATGCTTGCTCGTCTGAGAGGCAGGAATGCAAGGAAAAAATTCTGTACATGCAATATGTGTTGAAGAATACAACATATGTGGCGACGCACGCTTTCCTGGAGCTTTGCCGCTGCTGTGTGAGGACGTTTTGTTTAGGACTGGGCCCGTGTCTGTCCCTGAGAGCTGATTACATAACAACAACATTTACCTCATCTTATGCACGGGCGTGGGCTACTGAGAAAGACAACCCCTAAAAGACTGAAAACTGAGGATAGACAATATACAGTGTATTAAGAAAGCAGAGCCAGGATACACCCGGGGGACACTGAAAGTACTCGCTGACACCATGGCACTTCATGTGATGACCAAATAAAGACAGCCCTTTTCTGCGAAACGATGTGAAGGAAGAGGTTTGGCTGCAAGGGTCTGACATGCGCGCGCACGCACGCACGCACTCACACACCCTGCAGCTCTAAGATGGCTATACTTTGTTTTTCTCCCCCATATGTGCAATGACCTGGGCCTACATGAGAATCACATATTAAAACTATGCTGAAAAGAGATATATAATAGTAAAAGTCAGAGTTCTTTACACAATCTCACTTATGTCACGAAAACTGTCTCAACTAATCCACCACACTTATTTCTATTGATCCCCAAAAGGCCACGCATGATACTGAATGATAACAGGATCCACTCTTATTGCCACATGACACTCAGCCAGACGTGCGCGATTGTGCAATACAATTTACATAATGTAGCTCCTCGGAAAATATCATCACTTCCGCAAAAATAAGGGGAAACCATCCGGTAGCTGGCGATAGCAGAGAGGAGGAAGGTCTATTGCTATCGCCTCTTGTTTAACAGAGTTCTCTACAGCAACACACACACAACACTTCAGTTTCCGGTGTGTCACTGACACACTTTCCAGAATAAAATGATTGATGGGGGATTGTGTAATGGGGGCAAAAATGTACACTTGTTGTATTGACATTTATTGTCAGCTGATTGTACTTGCACCTTGACATTACATTAAAATCTTGCTTATAATGTAGTGCTTTGGTAATATTGATCTAGTCATAAAAACAGCAACATAGCTATCCCTCTGAAATGGGCCATTCATAATAATGAGTAGGCTACTTTAATGAACGAAACTTTATTTTGAAAACAAAAAAAAGACATAATAAAAAACAAACAAGACAAAGATAACAGTGTCCAAAAAGGAGCAGGTAGACGTATAACTTATGTCCCTACCCCTTTCTTAAATTTCTTCTTTTAACTCATATATTATTTAAACAAACTGACAAATTTATTTACAACTATCCCCAGTCTATTTACCACCCAATGAAATAAATAAGTAACAAACCCACTTCATTTACAGTCCAAGTACCACCCGATGTAACAAAATAATTATGCACTCCCCTATCACAACCTTTCCTCATCTATATATCTGCCAAAAATATCTTTTTTTGTATGGTTTTTAAGTTAAGTAAGTATATTTGTGCCATTAATTGATTTGCTAAATTTGCAAAAATATACAGATTTTTCTTTTCAATTTACACTTGTTTTACATGATATATTGTGATTTACAAATGTGTTTATAATATTGTGCAAAAATCTAGTCCTAACATGTCAAAATATCTTTAGTTTATTGGCCTACTTTTCACTACTGTTGCGGTTCCAAAAATATATATAATATAATATAATATAATATAATATAATATAATATACCCCCCCCCCCACCCCCAATACAGCTTTTTATACAGCATAGCCTACTTTTACTTTCCCTTTATAGAACTTTATTTTGAAGTCCCGAGAAAATGTGACCGGAAATGATTGTACCCATGTTTCACAACTTTAAGTAAACAACCTACGAGAGATACTAGAAGTGTTTTTAAGGGCTATAACGTGTCACATTGTTGTGTTTGCTGATATTGACACACACCATCTCACTAGATAATATGTAATATCTATTTGTTTTACGATAACTCTTTACTTGGATCGAAAACGTCGCCAAAACATACATTTACCAGGAAGGGTTTTACTGTGAAAGTAATAACCGGAAGTGCAGTGTTTTGTCGCCATGGGTACTTGACTACTGCGATGGTCCGCTTATAAAACATGTGAAGCCACAAAAAATAAGCTAAAAAAGACTTCCCGTTTTTGTTACCTTCAACATAAAAGCAGGCTGCATATGTTATATTCACTGTATTGAACACAGTAAACAAGGAAGTGTAATGTTTATCAGTTATTGCCGCTATTCTGTAGCTTTAAATAAACAATGAGCACTTCAAGTGAGGAAGTTGTTTGAATAAAGACTCTCATGCATTTGTGCTCTGTTTAGATATCATATAGGCCTACTGGAAATAATATAGCTGCTTGTTTCATATTAAAATTTTATTATAGTGTTATGATCATGCTGTTTCTGGCTGCATCTCAGGCTCAAAGACAATATAACATAATTGATTATCAGGCAAATCTGTTTTCTGCCACCATTTTAGTTAGTAACTCTTGTACTTATTGTACTCCTATTATTAGTCTTTTAGACACTGTGTTTTACTCTTGTTCCTTAAAAACACTTCTTATCTTGTATATTTGTATATTTTGCCAGATATTTAATACTCTATTGTTCCAAAACTGGGCCCAGTGAGTGACCCAGATCTGTTGTGAACTTTAAACTGTGGTTACTCTATTAAGTGTTACTGTAATTTGAAGCATTCTCTGGCACAAGATTTTCCTTAGGGATAAATGAAGTTGTATTGAATTGAATTGAATGAGAATCAGAGCTTATTTTTATGTTGTTTTTGTTCATAAAGTTATTAACAAAGGTCCCACAGGTTCATATAATAAACCATTCCCTGCACAGTATAAGTCTGCTGTTGTAAATGTTGGTAAGTTGTCCAAAAATAGATTTTGGTCGAGATAACAATGCAGCCCTTTTCCAAAGTATGCAAAGCATTATGCTGGAGGAGGATTTTCCACAACCCAGCAGCCCAAATGTTTCTTTCATGGCTCTTAACATATCTATAAAGCATTAGGAAATGATTTATTAACTACTGAAAGAGCACTCTGCCGATTTTAAACTTCAGGTTGGGTGTAGCCTACTAGTCAAGGTTAGTTCTGCTCAGTGTGTCAGAGTAGCCTAGCTGTATGATGTCTCTGGCGGCTCTGGAGGGAGCTCTCTAAGTGTGGTGGGAAAAGAAACAAAGCAAGATGCCATCAGTTTTCTCTGCTTTGGTTTCGAGGTTAGGAATTTCTTGCAGGAAGCCTCTGTTACAGACAGGGGATGTGAAGTTTGGAGTGCGTGGGAATTCACATGAGGGAAGTTGCTGGGAAGTTGCATTATGGGAAATGTAGGATCCAGTGTTTTTGTGACTTTACACATACTAGGGTCAGGATATCTTGGCTTCTTGCTGCAATGGTTGTTCCCTGAATCTCTTTTAAGTCTGGACCTCTCTACCTCTCTAATAAAGACATTAATTGCTGCGTATATATCATTTATAAAGGTTTTCTTAATAGTAGGCTAAATGAGACCATTATGATAATTTTAGTAATGAGCTGCTATTAAATCCTTGTTCATTTAAGATTCGTTTTTTTGACAAATGTTTAAAAATCCGACAATAAAGCTGAAAAACTTCCAGATAGGCTGTGTCAAAAGATGCAGAGCAACATGATGAGTGTTTAGTTCTACATATAATTTTTTTTTTACAGAAAAGGAATATTTCAGAATTAACTTCTTTAGTATCACCAACATTTTGATTAGTAATTGTAATTTAAATGCATATTGTTTCTCAGTAACTGTAACTGATTACAGTTACATTAATCTCGTAATTTAAAAAGGGACTGTTTGTTATTTATGAGAGGGAGGGGTGGTGCGAACAGGGGGAGGCATACCAAATACTTTTTTAAGCACTTGTGAGGGACTATTTTATTTTGGCTTAGGGGAGAGACATACAACTTTAAATGATTGTCTTTTGTATTTATGTCTCCACTGATTTTGAAAGAAAATGTGCCTTAAAATTATACAATTATTCATAGCTGTAAAAAGTCAGGAATTATTGTAGTTTTTCTCATTTCTGCTAGTCTTTGGACACATCATGTGCGATGAACGCCTCTGTCAGAAAAAAACAGAACCAAATCTGATCTTCAAATAGTGATATTTCATCAGAAACACTTCATTCTACGTCTTATCTAAAATTACGTCTTCTTAAAAGTGCTATAACCTCTTGACCTTATACTTCATTCTACTTAACTTACACCTGTTGTCCGCGTCTGTGGACACTTTCTTGTGCCATCTAGTGGTAGTAAGAGCACAATACACTAATCCATGTAAAACAAGATGGCAGCCATCTCTGCCAAGTCAGTCTGCAGCCGATCCCGACAAAAAAGTGGACAAGGTCCAAAACCTGATCACATTTTATGGTTGAAACTTGTTTATTTGTGATTAATAATGTTTGTAGTTTGATACGGCAACACATTTGACCAATTTTAGCAACAGTAACAAGCTAAGACACTGTTAATTAGCAAGTACTCGTTTGACATTGGGACTTTATTATTATCGTCTCGTTTGAGGACATTGGGGTTTTATTGTTGTCTCCTTTGAGGACATTGGGACTATATTGTCTTGTTTGAGGACATTGGGACTATATTGTTGTCTCGATTAAGGACATTGAGACTTTGATATTGTCTCGTTTGAAGACATTGGGACTTCAATGCCATCTCATTTGAGGACACTTGGACTTTACTGTCACATTTGAGGACATTGGGACTATGTCTTGTTTGAGGACATTGGGACTATATTGTCATCTCATTTGAGGACACTGAGACTTTATTATTGTCTTGT